CATCTGGCGAAGTCAGGTTAGCCAACTTTAGCTCTAATTTTAAATGCATGCATTTATTAGACATTGACAACTTTTATTGTCATTTTGTATACGCAGAGTGTTTACAAAATGAAATTTCTTTTTGTACAGCTTTATTGACAATGATCATTTCCATTCTTTATGTGCAGGCGTGATCAAATGTAAACAGTATGGCGTTGCTATACAAATTCAACAGCATTTGAAAATCTTCAAGTGAGTTTGTTGCTGTATCTCCATCCAGCCACTCCTTTACCTGCATAATCTATATCAAAAACAATAAAACAAATTTCTACAATTTCTATATACTCACAAATTTCTATGATACTCACTTTTTGCTTTCTTTGTTTTAAGTTAACCAAAATAACTCAAACTCTTAACTATTTTTCTGTAGTCTTATAGCTATAACTTCTGAAGTGCCAACATTACAAATCCTATTTGCTTCTCATGTCAATGTATTTGACAAACGGCACTAATTCATATGCTGTTATACAAAATCATCTTCAGTCCAGACTCTGTTTGTTCGATCGTTTTATTCCCATAAAGTCTTTTACTGTAGCAAATGGTGATTAATGTGATGTTATGGGATAAAAGAGACCCAGCCCAAAGTTAACCAGCTAACAACTTCATCAACTTTGCTGAAATCTTCCCATTATGGGACCAGGGTTTCCGCTGGTCATTAAAAATCATTAGATTATAATTTTTTTAATTAAGGCCTTAATTAGCGTTAAATTTAATTAAATGTGATTATCATGGAATTTAAAATGCCTTATATAAAAAAAACATATTTTATTAGATATTTCAGATATAACTGGTTTTGCGTGTGTGCGTGGAACTGCTTCCAGTTGATCATAAAGCCATATGTTCGGAAAAGAAGCTCGAGATGGAGAAAAAGCTAGAGAACGGGAAAATGCTAATTTCAACAAAAATGGCTGCAAAACGAGGAATTTCGGACATGGCTACAGCCTGAAAACGACAAAGGTGATTGCTGTATATATATATTCATTCCTGTATAAACCCTATGGACAATAAGGGTATTTCTATTTTATTCCAGATTATTTTTATACTCAGAAATAATATTGATAGATGAATCAATTTAGCGCTGCAGCTTATTATTTTTATGATTCATTAATGTATGGATTATTTGTTTAATGCATTGATTAATCTAGTAAGAGATCCTTTTGAAAGGAGTCATAACCTGGTATTTTACCTAGAAAATCCACAAATTCTTGTTTTTTAATAATTTTTTAGGGGTAAGCTAATTACATAGTTTATTGATGTAGCATTGCTAACATTAGCAGGTAGCCATGCTTCATTTATCATTGTTTCTCAATCTCTTAACCTAAAAGGTCAAAAGTTGCACAAGTAGCAACACTTGCAGTCTGCAAGCAAGTTGTTGATTGTTGGAGTTGCTCCTTTTTGTGAAACAGAGATGGGAGTAATGTTAGCAAGGCGGCTAATGTTAGCATCCTTCCTTTATGAGTTTTTATGGTTTGAACAAAGAGCCACCTTGGGGAAAAAAAAAAAAAATCCTAAAACACTCTTCTGGATTTTATTTTGCAGTCAGGTAATCCAGCCGAGAACTCTATTAAGCACTTTCCCTGTTTACAACAACAGTTGGTGAACAACAGGTTTATTATGTTTTTCTTTATTCGGGTCGTTTGTTTCTGTATTTGAATTTTAAGTACAATATATTAGTCTTTCCAGCTTAAAATTGTTTGGCTCTGCTGTAAAAAACAAACAGGATTTTACAATAAAAAATTTTTTAATTGGATATACTCCAACATTATCAACATCAAATTTATGTTTGCAGCCAAAAACAAATTTTTAATTGACCATTTTTGCTCTAACAGTCCTTCAGGTACCTTGCTATCCCTTGTATTTTGGCAATTGTTGCAGCATTTCTGTTGCTATGTCAACGGTCCTTATGAAGCCGCAGGGATGTGGTCTGGAGATGTTGCTGCTCAGATGTTTCCCTGTTAAGACACACAGATCGTTGAACGCTCTGAGATGATGTGCATGTAAAATTTTTATCAGTTGTAAATCTTGGCTGGGTTTTACATCTGTAAAGGGTACCAGCACAGTCTGGAAAGTTTAAAAATTGAATGGATTTTAAATATTTTCCATACATTTGTGGCCTGGGAAGAAAAGCAAAAACAGGGATAAGCATTTTTTTTTCTTTTTTCCAGATTTTATCCATCCGTTCTTGCGTTGTGGTTTTGCAAACTCCACATTTTAAGACTCATCCATTTGAAGATAACTGCCATAAATCATCTGTATTTCTACATCAAAAATGGGATAAAAAGAAGCAAAAGTCCCAGGAATTCTAATATGAAAAAGGTTTTATTTGGAGGTCATCGTAGAGACTCCCAAGATTGAACTATGTAATTGAAAACAAACGGATAAAAAAGTCCGATCTGTCCTGTAGAATATGCATAGAGCCACAGGTGATCTCCAAATCAGGACGCTGTTGGTTTGATCAGAGAAATTTTATGTTGTCATCATAGTTATAGTTGGGAATCATTTTGATGCATAGTTACCATTGAACATCACTGTTGCTAACTGCCATGTTGGTAGGCAGAAGGGCTTTAGAAAAGGCAGAGTAAGTTTGACTATAGAGAAGTATCCCATTTTTGTCTTTCACAGTTTGCTGTGGGTGAAAGGATATAATAAAAAAAAAAAAAAATTGAACTTTATTAATCTCACATTGGAGTTAAGGGTCTTGCTCAGGGAGCCGGGGAGGCAGTTTGTGTGGTTCGAACTCAGAACCTCAGGATTCCAAGCTCTAGGCCGCCACTCCCCAACCATTCACACAGTCTCGGCAACGCGCATCACGAAACGGGAAGGAACAGTATTAATGCAACTTTATTACAGCATTTGTTCAAAAAATAATACATTTTCATTATCCATCTTTCAATATTCTACTTGCTATCATTGGACTTTCTTTTTTTGATCTGGAAGAATGACGATTCTAGGTGTGAAATGCTGCGTTTGCCTAAAAAGATGGCGGATGGAATGCATCTGGTTAAAGGTATAGTATGCAACTAGGGGTGTGGGAAATAATCGTTTTGGCGATATATCGTGATATTCGGCTGCCCAATATAATATCGATCTTTCACTTCTTAGTATCGATT